TTTCAGATACTTGGTGGCTTATAGAATATGCATACTTTTCATGGCCTGGGCAGTTTCATGTGTGTTCTTAAAGTGAATAGGAAGACTGGAGCATCTTGATTTGCATGATTTTGTAGGGTTTTATGGGTCAAGAGACTAGCCATTTTCACTGGTCACCTCAGGCCACTCACAGGAAAAAGAAGCCTAAAACTCTAATTCTTAATGAACCTGCAGTTTAGTTGTCAAAGTCAAATAAACAAGTGCCAACCTAGTCACATTTTAACTTTTTTCCCCACAGTAAAATTTAAATTAAATGTTCATTCTGTGAAATGCTTTGTTTCAAGTTAACTACTTTAAAAAAAGGAAGGAACACTTAGAGAGGAAACTATCCTAAGGGAGTTGAGGTCTAGAAATAACTACTCTGAGAGTACAAGGGGCCACTTGTGTCCTCACAAACAAAGAATAAAAGTCCCAGTTTACTCGTGTTAACAGTGAGCAATTGATATTCAGAGAAGGGGACCATCCACAGAGAAAATAATAACATTTTACAGTGATCATTTACTTGGGAAAATATTCATTTTGTTGCAGCAGAACGCATGGCTGGGGGAAGGCAAAAGCACAGTGACCTTCCTCTCACCTGTTCTGCGTAGGTTGTGACGCCTATGGGTCTGTAGTACAGCTCCTGCTCTGGAAGCGAAATCTTGTCAGGCAGGAGATTTTTCTGGATAGCAACCAGAAAGGATGCAGATCGGCCATGTAAACAGAGGCCTCTTCTTACTTCCAGAGGTGTTATTTTTGACCCAGTTATGATGCTGTGTTTATGAGGACCTTTTCCTAACTTAGAAAGTAAACCACAAAATTTTGTCTTTTCTTTTCCCGCCCCTTTCCCCTCTCTTCCCTTTCCTCCTTTGCTTCCTCTTCTCTTTCTTCCCTTCTCCTTTGTTCCCCTCTTCTCCTTTCTCTTTCCTTCTCTCTCTTCTCCTCTCTCCTACATGTCCTTCCATCCTTACCCCCCTCCCCCCCGTGCCAAAGTCCAGGATTCAACTTAGAATAATTTCTTTTTTTTTTAAGAGATGAGGTTTTTGGGGGGAGTCTTTTTGAGGCGGGGTCTCCCTGTAGCCCCAGCTGGCCTGAAACTCACTATGTAGACCAGGCTGGCCTTGAACTCACAGAGATCCACCTGCCTCTGCCTCCCCAGTGCTGGGATTAAAGGAGTGCCTCAGTCATTAAGGCTAAGGCTAACAACCAAAGAATAATTTCTTAAACAGTCTTTGTAACTTCCTTAAATGTTTGTGATGTGTGAAGCATATTGCTAAATATATGTGCAATACTTATCGTCTTTTAGAATATGGTTAAAAAGAGTTCTTATTCTGAAATGTAGTAGCTGTGTGTTCAGTGAAAATTCACTGACAACCCAGAGGCTTTTTTTGTTTGGTCGGTTTTGGTTTTTTTTTTTTTTTAGACTGGGTCTCATGTAGGTCCAGAATGGCCTCGAACTAACTCTGTAGCAAAGACTGAACTTCTGATCCTCCATCCCTGTGAAGCAGGGACTAGGATCACAGGTATGTACTACCATGCCTGGCTAGAAGCTTGTTTTTTAAAGCTAGCTGTACGTATCAATTGTCTGTCCCTAACAAATCATCCTAACAGCACAATTGCATGTTTTATATACAATTTGCATATGATAATATATATTATTTATATTTCTAGAGCCCTGAAAATAATCCTCTAGCTTATTGTTTTCGACTTTTAAATTACATTCTTGTTTTATTATAATGCCCAGTCACTTTTGCCAGAAACTAAATCTGAAACTCCAGAAAGAGTAAAGGTTTGGACCAAAGTTTATAAACTTCGCTCTCAAGCAGGCTTATGAGTTTCATCTTTATCAAAACATGTGAATGCCTCTCACTTTGTGTTAAGGTTAAGTTGGACAAGAATAAAATCAAACACAGAGAGCAAGGTTGACCCTGAGGTGACCCATTTCAAATAGAACCACTCAGTGGAATGACTGCTAATAATCAAAGTCACCTTTTATCAGCTCCTTAGCTGGAGGGCCTTGAAATATGGCTCAAGGACATTTTAAATTAGCACAATGTGTATTTATTGCCATGTGTCCAGGACTTGGGCGTGTGTAATGTTTATGCAGATTTTGTAAAGGCTACCTTCACCAGGGACTAGTCCTGCCCACCTGCCTGCCCTGCTTGCTATCTTCAGTCTTGTTAGAGCTAGGATCAAGAACCCAATCAGAAAGTATCTTGAGAGCCAGGTGTAGCAGCACACACCTTTAATCCCAGCACTGGAGAGGCAGAGGCAAGCAGATCTCTGTGAGATTGAGTCCAGCCTAGTCTACATAGTGAGTTCCAGGCCAGCTGGGGCTCCTGAGAGACCATGACTCAAAAAACTAACCAACCAAACAAACAAAAATACCAAAAAAGAAAAGAACGTATCTTGTGTGTGCACATGAGTACACAGCGCTCTAGCCCTATCTCCTATCTCCTTAGCTAGGGGATTAGCTCATGTACTGTTTGTTTAGAACTCATCATAGGAATAGACCGAAGTGGCTACTGCAAAAGGTAAGCAAGTTTGAAGCACACCTGATTCTATTATTGTTCATACTTTATTTTTTCTGTATTTCATGGTATTTTGAGACACTGAATAGTACTACAAATTGAATGTCACTCACCCAAAACCTTGTGTGTGTGTGTGTGTGTGTGTGTGTGTGTGTGTGTACCTATTTACCTGTGAGAACGTATGTGGAGACCAGAAGTAAAATGTCAGTAGTCTCCTTCTGTCTATCTTCACCTTATTTTTTCAAGACAGGGTCTCCCATTGAACGTAGTGCTCGCCAATTAGGCTAGGCAGGCTGGTGGGTAAGCTTTGAGGATCCTTCTGTTTCCAACCCCCAACCCAGAGCTGGGGTTACAAACATGTGCCCAGCTTTTATGTGGTTACTAGGGATCCAAATTTGGGTCCTTATGCTTGAGTACCAAGCACTTTAACCCACTGAGCTGAGCTGTCTTAATTTTTATTTGTGTCTGTGTATGTGTGTGTGGTGGTGGTAGGGGAGTGTACTTGTTTGCCACAGCACACCTGTCGAGGTCAGAGGACAATTTGTGGGAGTCAGTTCTCTCCTTCCTCCCCTGTGGCTTCTAGGGATTGAACTTAGGTCATAAGCCTTGGTTGGCAGAAAGTACCTTCACCCTCTGGGCCATTTTGCTGGCACCCAAATCTAAAACATTTTTAGTGCCAACCTGATGCCATAAGTGGAATTTGATACCGGACTATATGAGATGGGTTACAGTCAAAAAGCAGGTAAACTTAAAGTACTCTATAAAATTATGATTGGGTTATATGTATAAGATATAACTGAAATGTAAATGAATTTCGTGTTTAGATTTGGGTGTCACAAAGACGCCATGTGTAAACAAATACAGAAAAACAAAGCAGAAGTCTCTTCTGATCCTAAACTTCTCAGATTAGGCATAACACAACCTGTGTACTAAGCTCCATCTTTGCTGGTTACCTCTGGGTCACTGAATGGTTTAATCACACTTAAATACTTTCTGAATTTACTTTTCTAACACAAGGAATAAGACAGAGTATGACCAAGTAAAGAAAGGGCTAATTGACACATGGTATCGCTGACCCGGCACTCACAGGAATTCTTTGAAATGCTCTGAAAACGGTGAGACTCTGATGAAGGAGCAAGGTCGTTCTCCCATCCTGCATGGTTAATGTTTAGGACTTCTTCCAGGGCAAAAGAAGAGGGAAGACTTCAGGCCTCATCTATTAAAAATGTACTGGTGACTCTATTGTATAGAGATAGCTACAGGGAAATCCGTGTCCAACCTGGAAACCAATGTCAGGATAAAATGAAAATGATTTTGAGGCTTTAAAACTTCCCAAGAGGGGCTGGAGAGATTGCTCAGTGCTTAAGGGCAGTGACTGATCTCACAGAGGACCCAGATTTGGTTCCCTGGACCCACATGGAGGCTAACAACTCTCTGTAACTCCAGTTCCACAGGATCAGATGCACTCTTCTGAACTCCAAGGGTACTGCACAACATGGGTGCACCTACATGCAGGCAGTGCACTCATATACTTAAAATAAAATAATAAATATTTTAAAACATCTCAAGAGAAGGGCTGGTTTGGTGGTGATGCCTTTAGTCCCAGCATTTGGAGGCAGAGGCAGGGGATCTCTGGAAGTTCAAGTCCAGCCTGGTCTACATAGCAAGTTCCAGGCCAGCAAAGCTACTGGAAGACCCTGTCTCCAAATAGACAAACAACAAAAAACAAAAAAGATATAAAACATCCCAAGACAACTCAGACACGTTGTGCGCTTGCACACATACAAACACTAATACACATAAAACAAAAATAAACAACATCTATTTTTTAAATCCCAAGAGGACTTGAGGAGACAGAGGTGCTCCGTATAGTTAAGTTAAACTACTTTGGGAAGGCTAAACCTTTCTTTCAACCTTCTTTCAAAGTCTTTGGGCTCCCTCTAGTGGCTCTCTAAGTAATTTCATTTTTAAGGAAACCAGCTTTTTCTTTTGCAATAAGGAGATCATTTTCAAAAAATGAAACCTTTGTAATTGCTTTTCTCTATAAAAGAGAGAGCAGAGGGGAGCAGAAAAAGAGAGAAAGCAGAAAACAGACTTTGATTAAAAACTCAGTGCAATAGAAAGTCATACATAGAATACTATTCCATAGAATAGCCAAGACTGACTTTACACCTGCCGTTTGCCTCCATGCTTAGAATGCACCCCCAGGCACTAGTTGCCAATAACCATTCTATCAGTTGGAGACAGTCCATCCTTTCTTCCCTCTTTATAAACAGATTATGTAACTCAGAGTGAGGGGAAAATATATATCTCATTTTTCCATTTTTAAGATACAGCTTTTCATAGCAAAATGTTTCCTTTAAACAAATCCTGGACTAGGACATCATGAGTTTTATCTAAAAAAGTGTTACCATTGTTCAACAACTCATTGATGCTCATGTTTGACTCTAGTTACCTGTCTCTGGAAACTTGATTGACCTATATAGCAACCAGGGTCTACCACCTCCAGGTCTCACCATCAGCAACTCATGTCCAGCCAATCTTCCCAACATAAAAAGGGAGCTCACAGGTATGTACCTGGCACATGTGCCTCTTACTGTGGTGTTCTGTTATCTTCCTCAGTGGACAGAGTTCTCCATACAATAAAAGTGTAGCCCAGTGTAGTGTATCTAACTAGGAGATATACTTTTATGTGTCTGCAATCATTGAAACATCATGCAGGGTGTTAACATGGAGGGTTTGTATTTCAAATTCCTAGTGTCCAGTGTTTGTTGAGATATGGGAAATGAGGACCACTATCACCGCGTCTGACTACTGTGCCCTTCGGGTTGGGAGTTGTAGGTAACACTCTCAGCTGTAAAGTATCTCTACCCAACCTGGTGTATATTTTATTTGCCAAGTCCCTGGAGGCACTGAGTATAAGGATTCCGCTTTGAATTTTCCTTTTATACACACTGAAGCCCACAGTTTGGATCAAGTAAGAATTTATTTCTTACATCTTTAGATGCCTCCCTCTATTTTTTACTCTACCATGTACAAAGGATTTATTATAGAAGGAAAAATAAATCATAAAATGGAGCAATCAGAATTGTTTGTTTTGAGGCAAGTATAAAATTACTTATTTTGCCACTTGGTTTGATGCTTTAAGGAAGATGTTTGAGGATAAAACATGACAGGAACTGCATTAGAACTGACATTCTACCATGGTGGATTTTATGGCCCTTGTCCCAGAGCCCAATTTATTATTTGGTTCTTGTTTCTTACAGAATTGGGGGGAGAGACTGAGCATATGGGATATGGATTTGTTGTAAAAATCCCTGTCCTATCCAAGAGTATTGTTATAAAAAACATTTCAGAAATTTGTAACAAAAGGCGTTTTTAAAAACCATTAATTTGGAAGGTAATTTATTAAGAAACAAAAGCTATCCAGAGCCAAAACCAACTAAGAATCCCACCAAAAGGAAAAGTATTAGACAACAAAAAGCGTAAAAGTCACAGTGTGTGTGCATGTGCAGTATCGTCACCTGGTGATTTTGTTACTGTATGAACATCTCAGAGTGTCTTTACATATGCTAGCAAGACCACCGTCTTCTATGCAGTCTGTCACTGACTGAAGCATCACAGTGTGCACGCACATTCATATACATACATACTATGTGCATATGATGTCATGTGATCAGTTTGTATGCTTCAGCAGCTGAAAATCCTGCTGAAATATTTCTATTTTCAGGTAAAATGATACACTGTAGTCAAGTACTTCCATGGGCATCACTTCTGAAAGCATACTAACAAAATAGTCTCGGGATTGATAAAGCAGCGTGTTTTATTTGGTGGATTTATTTGTTCTCTATGAGGAAAAAAAGAAATCTCTTAACACCAAAATCTCACATGAGTTGCTATTCAAATAGAACTTTTCAAATGGAATTGTCACCAAATACTTTTGGGACCTGTCCCTACCTATGCTTTTATACACATGCAAGTAGTGCATAGTGGCTCCTAGGAATTGTGACATGATTTTGTTCTAGTAGATTCTGAGAGAACCTGGCTCCACATTCTGAAAATAAAATGAGTTCATTTCCAGGAACCTGTCACAGGCTGTGGAGATGTAATCTAGAAGCTTCCCCACTCACTTTGCATGTCACCATAGGAATAAAAGACACCTGACATTTTATTTAGCCTGAAAATAAAATTGGACTCCTAACAATAGAATACAATACCAAATTCCCATAGTTTTCTAGTTATTTATGTCAGCCTTTTTAGCATGGGTGTATAGTCTCAGTGTGCTGTGGGTTGCTGTTGTTTATCTCTTACCGGTTTATGGAAACAGGTTTTGCAGACATTTGGTGTATGTAGCCTTAGAAGTACAAGTTTTTATAAAATATCACTTGAAAAATAATATTTTCATTCTACTCCAACTAGACAAGGTTCTGTACATTTACAAGAGATGCTTTATAGTTAACACTGCTGTGTCCCTCAAACAGTTCCAGTTTCTAATGACTTCATTCACGTGCACAGCGTGTATTTTCCCCACAGAGTCTGAAGCAAGAGCACTGGCTAAAGAGAGGCAGAAAAAGGACAATCACAACTTAAGTAAGTTGGTTTTGTTTATGTCCATGGTGTTTGATGATGATGTCAGTGTTCCTTCAGGTATCAAAAACTGCTTCCAAAAATTTTGGAGGAAAAATAATTTCTCTAGATGTTAAAAGTATCTTTTATGGAAGGAGATTGTATTCTAGAGAAATTTTTTTATCTCAAATCAAAATAATTGACAAACACATATATTCTGTTTTTGAAACATTTCTATTTATTTATAGTAGTACAAGAATGTTTTGTATGCTTTTTTCCTAAATAGATTTTTAGAGTCTAAAAACTTAGACTCTATAAAACTTTTTTCCTGATTAAGAGAAATGACAGAAAAGGGCAATGCTGCTCTCTAATCACCAGGTGCAAGCATTGTTTGCAGTCTGGTGTTGTTTCTCCTGACTTTTTCTATGTATTTAAGAGCAGACACATATGGGTACGTGAGGAAAATCAAGAGCTTTGCTTTGTGTGTCTGAACACAGATCATATTACAGTATCCGTGCTCTGCCACCTGCTTCTCTCTTACCCAAGCAGTGTGTGTAGAAGAACTTGCTGTTACAAATCTAGATCTGCCTACTTTGTAAATACTGTCACATCGTATCCCCACCTGGGCTCTCCCTACTTAGCCATTTTACTGCTGTGTGTATGTATTGTTTCTAGTTTTCTCCCATATAAACAGTGCCTGGGGGAACATGTACGTACACCTCCTGTGCACAGGTTTGCTTCTCTGGGCTGGGTCCTGAGGAATGTGTATGTCTACTCTATCAGTACTTCCCTCCCACTTTCTGTTTCAATTTGAGAAGCTTTCTTCATCTTTTACCAAAAGATACAAGCTAGTATTTTCATAATAAATATTCAAAGAGGGAAGTCCCACATTGAAAATCGAATGTGGCATCTCTAAATATTGACAAGGAGGTCAGCAGTGTGCCAATCAGTGAGAAAAGGCAAAGGCAGAAGCATTTTAGTGCAATTCTACTTTAAAGGTGCTGTTCTTTAATGTTCATCATGTCAGGCACATATGGTTGCCTGGACCGCAGCCATGAAGAAACACAATAGGTAAATAAGTGAAATAATTAAAGATTAGCTGATACAGAGTTTTGTGAGAAGACGGAATAGGGCCCAGTGGACATAGTATCATAATGGGCATGGGAGGTAGAGGATCAGTTTTAAATAGGATGACCTGGGAGCTCACATAAGTAAATTTGATTCACGACCTAAGGAAGTAAATGGCTATTCAGGGATCTGGAGGAAGAATGTTCTAGGCAGCAGGAACAACATATTAAGATGGCCAGTGTATGCCTGGTTCGGTTGTGGACTTAGCAAGGAGTCAGTGGGGGCCAAAGGGAAAGCTCACAGGTGAACTTCTAGAGATGACTGTGTCAGTCTGGGAGAGGAGTAGATAGTGAGATCAGCAGGGCAAGGCCCACCAGATCCTTGTAGGACAACTCAAGGACTTGGTGAAATGGGGAGTGATGGGAGGGTTTTGAGGAAAGAGTTGGCATGCCCTCACTTAGGCTTTAACAGGACCCCTCTGGCCACTGGGTTCTCCACAGATCAATAGATGTGGGGCGGGGAAGGCGGGGGATGGGCCTGCCAGAAACATGATGCCTGCTAGGAGGATTGCAGTAATCCAGGATGATGGTGACATCTCTCAGGAAGAAACAGAGGTTCAGGCAATATTTTGAAGACAAAACCAACAAGATCAGATGACAGATGAGGAACAGGAGAGGAAGGGGTGTGGAGCTGATTTCAGGGTTCTGGCATCAGTATTTGGAAAGATGTTATCACTGTTGAAACGAGTCACCTTCAGTCTGCAGGTAGGGCTAATGGGGCTGAAAAAGTGGGGGACTTGTGTCTAGAGTGCCAGGGCTGTCTAGTACCCTTCCAAGTAACGATGGCTATTGGTCAGACATAGGAGCTTGCAATTCCATGTTGATGTCTGGACTGTCAGCAGTGTGTACTTGGTATATATGCTTGGGGAAAGGAAGAAATTCTATAATACTTCAGAGTTTTAGAGGGTATAAATGAGTGGATAAGAAAATCTAAAAATTCCTTTATCAGCATCATTGACTATTACTTGGTATTTCTATTTTGTATTTGTTATGTTTATAACCCTAATAATAAAAATTAGTATTATAGCCGGGCGTGGTGGTGCACACCTTTAATCCCAGCACTCGGGAGGCAGAGGCAGGCAGATCTCTGTGAGTTCAAGGCCAGCCTGGTCTACATAGTGAGTTCCAGGACAGCTGGGGCTACTGGGAGACCCAGCCTCAAAAAAAAAAAAAAAAAAAAAAAAAAAAAAAAAAAAAAAAAAAAGACAAAAAAAATCAGTATTATATATCTGTTTTTATATTATGTGTGTATTTAATCATTGGAATAATTACTCAGCTAAGACAAAGTGCTATTTATATTGGAAAAATCGTGAATAACATTATGTATCTACATGTACAGAATATTAGTGGGTCAAATATAAATAAAATGTTAGAACTTTTAAAATAAACATAATTTATTAGACCTTACTTGAAATTTATTTGCTGTATTGGGTAAATTTGAAACACTTATTATCTCACATGCCTTACTCTGTTATCTTTACCACAGAAAGTAAGAATTTCATTGAACATAGATTTGTGGAATGAGGATGCTGTCAAGATGCGCAGTGTGGTTTTAAATGCTAAACGGGTTTTAGGTCTGCTTGGTAGCTTTTTGCCACTTACACCCAGAGCATCAGCATATGGTTACTTCAAATTGTGATGTATGGAACTGGGAGCTGGGCTGATAGAACACTTGCCTAGCATGCACAGGACCCTTGGATTGGTCACCAGCCCCACAAAGAAATGCTGAAATAAAAAATATACTTGAATTTCCGAAACAGCATGAAGAAAAGAATGCACACCATCTAATTTAAATTTTTATGTTGATTACCTGCTAACATATAATAGGGTTCATGAAATATTGGAGTTAATTTCATCTTTGTTTTACTAGTTTAATATGGTCATTGAAGGACCTAAAATGACATGTGTGACTTGTATTATATTTATTTTTGACAGTCCCAGGCTAGAGTAGGAGTTTTTTAATATATTATAAGCTAAATTTTTAAAAAAATATTTTAAGTGGTTAAAAGGAAACCGAAAAAAAAAATAGAGTGATATCTTGTGACCAGTAAAAAATATGTAAAATTCAAGTTTCAACATCAAAAGTAATCCTGATGCCACTCGGCTACAGACTTGCGCTGTCCCAGTCATACCAAACTGATACTGTGAGACAATTTTGTCGATACAGATCTGTGCAAATGTTGTCATCACAAATTTGTCTTCTCTCTAGTTAAATAAGTACAATACAGATAGCTCCGCTTTTGATGCATGACCTTCAAAGCAAGAACCTATTCTCTATCTCTATAAAACTTTGCCAAGCCCTATTGCAAAGGACAGGACTTGAGTTGTGGGGCTGTGTGACCGATTGCTGGCTGTAGCTGAGGGTGACAGTTTGGTTTCAGAGTTGTTTGTTACAGAATCAAGTGAGAAAATTGTGTATCCGAATGCTTTGTAAATGATGGCATTCTGTACAAAGACAGCTCCTATTATTTAAACAATACCAAAAAATATGATAACCACAGGGGGAAATAGGTTCAAGTTTACATTGTCCTAACCTGGTAAAGTCAATGTGCACACTTTAATGAGATGGTCTAAATGCATGTGTGATGCTGTTACTAATGACCCTTTCCCCATGCTCTTTTCTTGAAGTTGAACGAAGAAGAAGATTTAACATAAATGACCGTATTAAAGAGCTAGGTACTTTGATTCCCAAGTCAAATGATCCGTGAGTACAATTGCATGTTAATCTGCATCATAGATTTTTCATACCTTCGTGTTTTTTCCTATGTTACAAAATATGCATTTAGAATTGAAGAAGTCTTCCCTCTCCCTCTGCTTCTTTTTCTAAGCCTTTATTTTGGTTAATTTAACCAAATTAAATGTTCAAGAAAAATGTATAGAATTGCACAAAAGAAGTATTGGTCCTGAAATGGTTAGGTTTGAATGTAAGGAATCAGGGCTCTCAGAAATCTGGGAACTCGGCAAAAGCATTCTTAGTTTTTGAAAAGAAAATTCTTTAATAGTTATACATACAAGATCTCAGTAGCTGTTAAAGCAAGATTTGTGGAGTGTGGGCACACCAGCTTGCCCAGTACCTCCAAACGGGCACTGATGAGCAGACACTGGAAACACCAAGTTCAATGATACTGGTAAGACAGAAGGGCAATTGTTCTTATGAAAACGTGCATATTCTTTGTGTGTTTTGCCAATCTTGGAAAAGGGTAATGTTTAATCCTCTTATTAAGGACAAGGCAGCTAATTCGAGTTTCAGCCTTGGGCTTTCTTCCACCTCCTCTCTCAGAGATAATGGCTATAGAGATAATTCTCTGGTATATCCTACCACGTTATCTGCCACATCAGCAAATAGGCCAACAAATACACAAGTTTTACCCGTTAGAAATTGGCCCATTTGCGGTAGAGAACTGGGGGATGTATACATTTTAATGGCCCCCACAGGCATTCTATGAAATTAGCCTTTGAATATGACCTTTTAGCTATCTAATAAAAAGTAAAGATGCAATCAAGCATTATTCATGCAAGGCTTATTAAATCTGCGATTCACATTATTGTCAGGGAATTTGTAGCAAAATAAAATAAAACTATTACCAATTGTGAGGTGGTTTTGATGAATGTATGGCACAATTTCCATCTTCCAACACTGCTTTCAAAGGCTTCAGGGAGAGGCGTTTCAGACTGGAAGAATTCAGATTCACAGTTGTGCAGCACAAATTTATCCTCCAAAAGGGCTGTGACCTTCATTCCTATAGTCAGTCTTGCATGATAGTTGAAATTGAATTCCTATTTCCTGTTCTTTATCAGCTTTCACTTTTTTAGCATATTCTTTTAGAGTGTAGCATGTGACTCACTCTAGTAACATGTTATGAAATTATAAGGCCGCAGTGAGAGCCTGCATTTGCATATCTTCTTCCACTGCACTAGAACTTGAATGTTTATACTCTAGACCAATGGTGACCTTTCATTATAGACACTGTTTTAAGGTAAAGCAGAGCATAATGTGTATACTAGCTTTTCCACACCAGGCTTCTAGACTGTGCCTTGAACATGCTAGAGAAACTCACTTTAGTGACTGCTTTAGTGAGCCCATACTTTCTCCTCCCAAAAGATTATGTTTTGATTGATTTTATATATTTGAGGGAACATACATACTTACATATGAAAAAGAATTCCTGTCATCCCCCACCCCCCAAAAAGCAATATTTGAAGCCCTTTAAGCCCAGGAACATAACTGATTGATTGCGTCTCCTAAGAGGTAGTCCTCAAGATAACTGATTGAAATACTTACTGAGAACTGGGCTTGAGAGGTCCAGCTCTAGCTTCTTACTTTGGATGACTAAATAAGGCATCGGACATTATAATCATGTGCCTCACTGACTACTTTATCTCTTGTTACTTTGACTTTAGCCTTGAGTATTAGGTCCCTGTGCTCACCTGTATGGGTTTCCGTCTTTGGTGCTCAGACCCAAGAGACCCACCCCATGGACCTCTCTGGGGGCTGTGGCTGCCCTCATGGGAGAATGTCTGTTTTGTTCCTCAGCTAACCCATATGAGGATCAATTATTATTTGACTTGTTTTAATGGCCTACCACTTATGTACCCCACCTAATGCTTCTGATTTGCTCTTAGCAGCAGTAAGTGATGGTGTTGATGGTTCCCTGGACATTACATGGATTCTGTCTTTGTCATTGTTGCCATCATCATGTTGAAGATAGTCTATAATAGGAATCAAATTTCAAGTAGTATAGAAGAATCACTTACATAAATATAATTCATTCTTTCATTCTTTATTGTTTGTTCTGGAGTACTCTAAAATTTTTACAGTCCGTTCACTTACATTTTATTAGTGATCATAATTTTCTCACATACAAGTACGTGGGAACCACACGGTGATTAAAAACTGAAAGGCATACACTTTTGTGGCTGTTGAGATTGGAATTCCAGAACAGACACATTCCCCGATGTCTGACCTTAGGGAAGACACTTGTGTTCTTGGGATCCAACTTTGTCATCTGCAAAGAAGCATCAAACTCCCCCTCCATGGTCTGGTTGTTTTGAGTCCTCACTTACATAGGGGGAAGAACAGTGCAGTACTTTTGGACAGAAGATTTAGAACAAGGCTGTCTAGACTTACTGCTTATACCTCTTCATAGCTCTGTGATCTTGGGAGCATTTCATAACCTTTCTGTGCTGTACTTTCCAAGAGGATCATGAAGAAGGATCACAGTAGAACCTACACATGGAGGATATTGTGACTAAATGAGTTGTAAAGCACTTTAGAAAGTTCCTAGCACATAGTAAATGCTGTGGAGAGATTGAAGTTTATAGTTACTATGTTGAACACTTGACATAGTGCCTGTTCCATTGTTCGAATAGTGATGCAAACCTTTCACAGTCCTTCATATAAAATGATCCTCCGCCCCCAGTTCTAGTAACACGCTTACAAAGACTGCTTATACACATAAAGTATCATCATTTTGCAAATGAGAAAATGGATATAGAGAAAGGTTAGGTGACTGCCCATGATAGTTCATGATAAAAATCCCAGAATGATGTTTATATACCACAGACAAACCATGGGATTTCACAGAACCTTTGTTGTTAACTGTGGATTATCTAGTCCGGGCAAACAAACCTTTATAGTTCTAAATATCTTCAATAGTTTAATACAGTGTTTACAAATAAGCTTTAGTTATCCACAGACTAAAATTTCAATCTTGGCTTAACCCAGTGAGAGGTCTGTGATTTAGACTGCTTTGAATTGTAGTGGTTTCAATATCTGTACAACATTCCCACCTTATAAGGTGCTTGTAGTTGGGTGTGGTGGCACACATCTTTAATCCTAGCACTCTGGAGGCAGAGGAAAGCAGATCTCCTTGAGATCAAGGACAGCCTGGTCTACATAGCCAGTTCTAGACCAGCTAGAAAAAGAAGAAAAGAGGAAAAAAAGAAAAGGGAAGGAAGGAAGGAAGGAAGGAAGGAAGGAAGGAAGGAAGGAAGGAAGGAAGGAAGGAAGGAAGGAAGGAAGGAAGGAAGGAAGGAAGGAAGGAAGGAAGGAAGGAAGGAAGGAAGGAAGGAAGGAAGGAAGGAAGGAAGGAAGGAAGGAAGGAAGGAAGGAAGGAAGGAAGGAAGGAAGGAAGGAAGGAAGGAAGGAAGGAAGGAAGGAAGGAAGGAAGGAAGGAAGGAAGGAAGGAAGGAAGGAAGGAAGGAAGGAAGGAAGGAAGGAAATAGGAAGGAGGGAGGGAGGGAGGGGAGAAGGAGGAAGGAGCTTGTCTGGATTAAGATAACAGATAACAGATAATGTATACCAAATGAGTGGGTGGTCAGCACTTGCTGAGCACTTAATGAACAATAGGTGTCCCTGCTGTGTGACTGTCATTCCAGCTAAAGAGATTGAATACTGAATTTTCTGGGAACCTCAGTTCCTAAAGAGCTGGTTGTGCTCCATTCTGACACAGGGACATGCGCTGGAACAAGGGAACCATTTTAAAGGCATCCGTGGACTACATCAGAAAGCTGCAACGAGAGCAGCAACGTGCAAAGGAACTTGAAAACCGACAGAAGAAGCTGGAGCATGCCAATCGGCACCTCTTGCTCAGAATACAGGTACCTGCCATGCGCCTACAATGTTTACAGTATGTATATTACTGCTTTCAGGAAATAACATAATGAGCCAAAGGGGAGTCGGCAGGCACAGTCTTAACACAGGTGACCCTTACTATTTGTAGATCCTGTGATTGTGAATTTGCCTCCTTGCACAAATGAATTGGTAGCTCCTACATTAATGCTGGTGGCACTTTCACAGTCATTCTCAGACAAGTGCAGAGGAGCAAACTTGAGTTGCCCATCAGGCTCCTCTCCAGTGGAGGCCAAGCAGCTCAGCTCCAAGTCCAGGTCCTGCCTTCTTGTTTCACCACTTTCTGCTATCAGAAAGTTCCAGCCTGTGACATGTCTGTCTTCCACAGTGCAGTGAACTTTGTTAGGGAGTTTTCAGCTGAACATGGACCCCAAGCATCATGAGGAAGTATGTGAATGCTTCCCAAGGCCAAGAAGGCTGTGATGTGCTGTCTGGGTACCAGTGAGCCTCCCTCAGGTGTAGTTAGTGTTGCTGGCTGGACCTTCAGTGAGAATGAATCTGCATTGTGCTTCACCTAGGGGTACGTGGCCAGGACATTGAACATGTGTGATGACAGCGTCCTATCCTCTCTGTGCTTCACAACATATCTCCCCTAAGATCTTGCTGCCACTGCAATGATCCTCAGCCACAGGCTGGGAGGCACAAGGTGGTGCTCCTCTGGGCCTGGGTTTTAGAATCCAGGGAATCAGTAGAGGCTAGGTGTAATTTGGAAATCTTCCCGACCTTCCTCCCACCTTCTTTAGCTTTCGTTGTTTGTTTTATGTTTCATGTCTTCCATAAAATACCTTAGGAATTTAATTCCTGGTACCTGCTATACCTGCTTATAAATGCAGCTTCCACTAATATGTTATTTTCTTATACAAGTATTAAAATATAGTTTTTGGAAAGAAGAGCTAATTTTTGTTTCGTGTCAATACTCCAAACTTATTTGCTCCTATGAAATATGAATGCTGTGAAATACCAGCACTGGAATTCCATGGTGATAGTTTCCTTCCAGTGACTGGGCTGCCTTACAAGTTTTGCAAGTCATAGGAAACATTATTAATTAGGCAAACTCTGCACAACGAATCCTTGGTGCTCCACATGAGATTTAGCACCTTGTTTAGAAATTGAAGTAACTGTTTTAATCTGCTGATAAACACCTTTAATTAAACAACAAAGGATCCAGTAAGATGTTTGCATCTCTTTAAGTTCATTTACCTGCTTATTTTTGAAAAGGTGAACTGCATGTGTGGAGGTGCTGTTCTTGGTGTAGAGTTACAAGAGCTTCTGTTTTCAGCCAGGGCTGAGGGCCTCCCTTCATTTTCAATCTAAGCGATGCATGCAGAGATCTTCACAGAAGAAAGAGCATGAAGTCTTATTATCAGGGGAAAGTCTGCTTTATTAAATTGCCCAGGGCTCTAGCCTGATGCCTGGAGAGGCCTGTTTCTAGAGATGGTCTGGGGAAGCAACAGACATTTGTATGGCGTCCCACACCCGTCATCTCTCACTCCTATTACTTCCAGAGAACAAGCTTGCAGATCCAACAGCTTTAACACAGACCAAGTATGGCTTTTCACACACATTATTTCCAAGTTTGTGGGCTAAATGAAGAGGTCGTGCCATGTGGAAAGTGCCTTTCCTTCCCAATGAGTTCAAAAGACGTGTTTCCCATCTATATTTTATCTTAATATATTATTTTATCACAAACAGAACAGCAAATGGAAATCGACTGGTTATTGGGGATTCATGGGTGATCTCTGCTGTCCATTTAGGAGTATTGAAGGATATTCAGAAAGAAAGAGGGAAAACATGCTCCGAAGGCATCTTGAAATGAAGTTTGATGCACATCATGGACAGTTACCAAGTGATCAGTCAGCTATTACAGCTGTGAAAAAGGACCACTGAGTGTGTGCAGAAGGTTAAATAACAGGAGTTAATTTTTTCATAATTCTGAAAGATGGAGGTCCAAAAAAGCAGGATTGACCGCATTTTATCTTAACCACCTCTTCAAAGACCCTGCCTCCTAATAGTCACATTTTAACACACTGGGGTTAGGGCTTAAATATACACATTTTGGGGGAGAGGTACACAGTTCGGCCCAGAACAAATAAGTACGTGTAGGAAGATCATACTCATTTTATAGACGAGAACTTGACATTTTTAAAAAAGCTTTCCCATTGCTATGGGGAGTTGGGTTAGATGTCTGCAGTTCTGGCTGCTGGTGCAGAATGTGGACGTGTTTGCTCTCAGCCTGAATTTTATTTCATAGTACCATTGGTGCCTTAGTGACTTTTTTACCACACCCTGAAGCCAAAAGAAATATCTACTCTTCTGCCACATCCAAGCAAAATATTGACTGTTTTTGTCTAACAGCTCAGTAACTACTTTGAAAAAATGCATATAATTGAAAAAAATAGCACTTTGATTTTTAAGTAACTATGGTACTTAGTGATGAAATAGGTATGCCTCCTGGGCATCACACAACTTGTGAAAACCTTGGAATGAGATTAGATCAACTACCCTTACCTTCTACTCCATGTTGATGCTTACGAGGTCCTGGTTACCACAGCCCTCCAGAAAATAATTTCTCAATACTATGGCATGACCAAAAAGTATGTAACATACTCATACTTAAACTTAACACACTCATACTTAAATACTCATACTTAAACACACTCTAGCTGAAATTAGGGACTGCAAGGGTGCAGCACATTTGTGGTAAAACTGAGGAATGTCTGGGGTCCAGTAGTTGAGCAAGTATTACCATTTCTCTTGAAATCATTAAATACCTCCCAAGCATTTTATATATACCATTATGTTACTATTTACCTAGTATTTTATTTTTATTTGCTCTAATTTTAAATATATACATTGTACAAAATTATGGTTTTTCCATACATTTCATATATGTGTACATATATGTGTATGTATATATTGTATACTTTGCTCATATATTTACCTTCCCCATCTCTCTATGCTTTCTTATCTCACCCAACCCCTCTCCCACTGGTCCCCTTTTTCTTTGCAAGTAGGCAAGTAGTTCCCCTTCTATTTTAATGCCACACACACACACACACACACACACACACACACACACACACATATTAAATCTAGATTCTGCATATGAGAACAAACACGATATTTGCCTGAGTCTGGGTATTTTATTTTACATAGTGATCTCTAGTTGCGTCTACTTTCATGCGAATGTCAAGATTTCATTTTTCTTTACAGCTGACTACAATTCTATTGTATATTTTCTTTACCAGTTCATCTATTGATGAACATCTAGGCTGGTCCTGTATCTTGGCTATTGTGATTAGGGTAGCAATAATCATGGATAAGCAGGCATCTCTGTGCTATGTTGACCTAGAGTAAATACCCATGAGTTTGATAGCTGAGTCATGTGGAGTTAGTTTCAGTTTTATGAGGAACCTCCACACTGACTTCTCCAGTGACTGCACCAGTTTACCCTCCCCCCAGCAGTGTTTGAGGGTTCCCCGCTCTCCGTACCTTAAACCAGCATTTGTTGTCAGGTTTTTTCCTTGATGACAGCCAACCTGGGGAGCTCATCCTTGTTTTCATCATTAATATCTGTGTGTTTTTCTGTTTTTAATATGTAATAATATCCACAATCCACCTAAAAAGGTATTTCATGTACGTTAAGAAATGCGAATTTTATTTTTAAAAAAGCAACAATCTTTACCTTAATGATTGATAGTTGTCCCTTTGCTTTTTTTTTTTTTTTTTTTGTTTTTTTTAAGCAGGGTCCCCCTGTAGCCCCAGCTGTCCTGGAACTCACTAGGTAGACCAGGCTGACCTTGAACTCACAGAGATCTACCTGCCTCTGCCTCCCAAGTGCTGGGACTACAGGCGTTCACCACCACACCCAGCCCCTTTCCTTTTTTTTTAACAGACTATTTTTCAAAGCAGTTTCAGGCTCACAGTACAATAGAATGCAAGCTCTAGACAATTCCAATGTCCTTTGGGACATGCAGCCTCTCATTAACATCTGCACCAGAGTGGTTTCTTCATTAGAAGTGACTTTTCCTGTCCTCCACACCCTTAATTTATAGACACTCTTGGTGATGGATTTGAGCAAAGGCATACCAACATACATCCACCACCATAGCCTCATCAAGGTGTAATTTCTCTACTGTGTAGTTCTTATATGCACACCTACTTAATTGTCGGACTTTGACTTTTATTATAGGAACTCGAAATGCAGGCTCGAGCACACGGCCTTTCCCTCATCCCATCCACTGGCCTCTGCTCACCGGATTTGGTGAACCGGATCATCAAACAAGAACCAGTTCTTGAGAACTGCAGCCAAGAACTTCTGCAGCACCAGGCGGATCTGACTTGTACGACAACCCTTGATCTCACGGACGGCACCATAACCTTCACCAACAACCTCGGGACTGTACCTGAGAGCAGCCCAGCCTATAGCGTCCCCACAAAGATGGGCTCCAAGCTGGAAGACATCTTGATGGACGATACCCTCTCCCCTGTTGGTGTCACCGACCCACTCCTGTCGTCAGTGTCCCCTGGAGCGTCCAAAACAAGCAGCCGGAGAAGCAGTATGAGCACAGAAGAGGCGGAGCATGCGTGTTAGCGAGCCTGCCTTGCTCTGCCTCGCCACAAACTGCTTCTTCCCTCCATCAGTGGACTTCATTATTTACCTGAAGGGGTTTTCTTGATAATTTTCCTTTAATATGAATTTTTTCATGCTTTATCAATAGCCCGGGATATATTTTATTTTTAGAATTTTGTGAACTAGACTTGTATATTCTATTTTACAACTACAAAGGCCTCCAAAGTATTGTACCATCTGCGTGCAGTATCTGTGAACTGAATTCTCGAAACGTGAACTTTCTGGAGCAAGAGGACTTTTGCATCAGAGACGTGTCTATCCGTTTCATTCAGGGGAAAATAAGGTTTGAGATTTTTATATCTGTGACCTCCTTGGAAATTAACATGTAAAGTTTAACTAAAAGAATGTAAAGCAGCCAAAAAAAAAAAAAAAAAAAAAAAAAAAAAAAAAAAAAAAAGAAAGAAGGAAGGAGGAAGAAGAAGCTGAAGAAGAAAAAGGTGGAAAAGACACCCATTAAAAACCCTTTTCCACTTGATAAAAGTATTGACTCTCTGGTACTGCCTTAAAAACACAGTACCCGACTAGCATCACTTAGTTTTTATATTGCAAACTGCTTAAAGGAAGAATACATTATGTAAAGACAAAAAAGAAAATAGCAGTCATTTTCATGAGGATGATCTGGTTAGAAAACATGTTTTATGCTAACCAAACTGAAAGGAGTTAGACCAAGGCTCAAAACAGAGGGTCTGATCTTGCTGGCTTTGATTCGGCCCAGTTAGTTTTCCTCATTTACTGAGTGTGATTCAGTTTCTTCATAAGATGTGTTTTATTTTGAAATGGTAATGAATGTCCTCCCTGAGTAAAATATCAAGGGATACTGAATGTTGGTTTTACTTTTTTTTTTTTTTTTCACTTTTGCTTTTAATAAGACAGCCGAACTGGGCACATTTCTAATTGGCTTTACTATTTTTATTTTTAAATTATGTTTTAGTCATTTTGATTGTACAGATTCTTTATTATCATTGTTTTTTTCAATGTTTGTTTTAATTTGTAAGAATATGTATCTTAAAATGGCAAGTTTTCACTATTTTTACAACTCACTGATGGTTTTCTGCATTCTTTGTACATCCATGAAAGAAAACTTTTATGCAAGGTCTTGTGTTTAAAGAGAGCTTTGCAGATATTTTGTATATTCCAGTCTCACTTAAAACTGTTTTTCACCACATTTAAGGTATAGTATTAATAGATTAAAAACCAGACTTTTTAGGAAAACAAAATACATACTTATTTTTAAGATATGAAACTAACAATATACTTGGAGACTGATAACCATAGCATACTATGCTCACTATGGTCATTTAAATTGGAATTTCAACAAACTGGCTGGATTTAAAGAAACACTGTATTAGCAAATTACTTGATAACAATGTTATAATAAGCAGCAGCGTCATCAAGTTGGTTTCCGTGCATTCCCTACTTGTGTAGCCCTATACAATCACAGTAGTTTCACATGTACCAAGCCCAGATGCTTTATACTGATGATAGTGTTACAAGCCGGGCTATGGAATGGAGTTTCTCGGTAGCAGCCTACAACTGAATAGTGAGTGGCATAAAGCATACCCTTTCAGAATGAAGTGCCTTAAATATAGCAGCAGTCTTTTTTGGGCTAGCACTGACTGAACTGTAATGTAGGAGAGAGTTTCAAGATGGTATCTGCAGTAAAGAGGAACATGTAGCATGATGCTGGTGTAGACATTATAAGAGCTTCCAATTTCCCTTCACATATTTTTAATATGAAATATATTTTAGTGACAGTGCCAACTTCTTTCATCAGGAAACCTTTTTCAGGAGGGTTTTTAAAAAGTGTTTAAATGTCAAATGTGAATTGGTGATGGATGATGGAGAGAATCAAGGGGAGTGACTGTCAGATGTGTGAATGGATGGCCTTAGTGAGAGTCATCAGCTGTGCAGTTCCCATGCATGTTGGGGAGTGAGAGTCCTTGGAAATATTGACGCAATGTTATCAGTTTTGTAGCTTTATTACTTAAGGGGGTAGGGAAAATAAGTTCCCATTCTTTCAACCCCCTTAAATATATAACTCTTTTCCTAGAATAGTGATGCAAATCTGCATGAACAGCTAATTGTACCATAGTGTTCACCGATACACATAGCATTGTCTATTTTTCTCTTCATATTTATATAGGGGGAGAGGGCTGGATACAGAAGTTGAAGATCACAATGCTATGATGGTAGTTTTTCTTAGCTGATTCTGAGAGCTGTTTTTAAATAACAGAACATAGTTTCACAGGGCTGACTAACCCACAGCTGAGGGACTATGGCTGTGGTGGAACAACTTCATAGAAAGTTCTGTCGAGAGACAATATGGCATACTGCACCACCGCCCTGACTCCTGCAGCTCTTGAACCTTCCTTTGCCTGCTCCCCTACCTCCTGATGAGAGGTAGCTGCTGGGAAAGGCAGGTGAGCAAGCCAGGCAAAGGCTGCAATGTGGGGGTGGTTTTATTTCTTTCTTTTTTTGCCAGCCAGAGTGTGGATTCTTTCAGGAACTGGTTAAGCCAAGAGGCAGTGGTTTTGGCTCACTGTTTTTAAGGAGAGACTGATCCACGCCACTCCCCCACCCTGGGTGCAGAATTGTGACTCAGGATTGATTGGACCTCCGCTTGGAGTGACCAAAATACCAAAATGACCTACCTGCCTCTGGGTAAGGCGATGGAAATACCAAACCTTCTGACTTTGCCAAAAAAACCATACAACCAACCTGATCATACATAGAGGATGACAGTTCTTTCTGGTTGTTGGTAAACCATAAAGCAATAAGAACAAACAAAGTCCATGGGACATTGAAAGATAAAAAGCACAAAGTAATGCACTTCTTAATATTTTTAAAAATGCACTGGGGAGAAGTTGATATTGATAACAGTATAAAAAACGGACTTCTTGATAAAAATGACAAATGACTGTCTCTTGCGGACACTTGGTACTGTAATGTTAATAATAGCCCCACTGTTGGGTGCAGCAATACTTTCTGTATGGTCCATAGCACTGTATATTACGAATTGATATTAATGTATCCAATGACATAATTGAACTGTTGTTCTTAATAGCCTCATTAAAGCATTTGGTTTTTCACATAGTGGTGGCCAGTTGTGTTTAGTTGGTGACAATTTTGAATGTCATGCGCCTTCACTACACAATGGCAGCATACATTTTCTTCCAACTTGATGAATAACAAATTGCAAGGAAAGAATGTAATTGCCAGTAGTACTTTGTTGAGTTTAAATGCCACTCTAAGATAGTACTTTTTGGGGTTAGAAACATTTTTGAATACTTTATGACTTGCTCTTAAATGAGCTATAATTATGTAGCTTTTTTCCCTATTCGGAGTTTGGGGGAGATTTTTGAACTCCCAGATGCCAAGAATCCACTTTAGATATAAGGGGTTTATGTAAAATATTTCAGTGAGAGGTAGCTTTATTTAAAAAAGGGAGAAATTGTCAGAGAAACCTTTGCATATTTACAGAAAAGATACTGGGTTTTTAAAATACAAATTTATAATAATGAATGCTTAATATACTCAGCCTGCCAGCTCCTTAAAAAAAATAAAGTACTTAAGAATCATTTGATAAATGTTGGATTTGAATTGGGACGTGTCAGACAAAACAGGTCTTTATTCCCTAGCTAGACCTTAAACTTCTGCCCTTTAAAAGAATACTCTAGTTTAACCTCTGGAGAAAATGATCCAGATTCTTGCTGTAATGCTTATGATCTGACTGTCAGTTTTTTTCTAAAGTTTAATTTTTTTTCTCAATTTGTAATATACAATAATTGAGGCCTTTCTTTTTCAGAGTTATTTGAATTATTTATATTTCCCATAGAAATATGATTGTGTGATGTCTTAAAGATGTGTAAAAATAGAAAGATCCCACCCGAACAGACAATTTTCTGAGTGAAGTGAAAGGCAGGTAAGTTGAAAGTCAGGGCTTTTCATCCCCGGAGGCATGACAGCTGTACTTGACCCAAGTGTCTGCCTGTCATTGGTCTATTGACAGTTACCTTGACAGCCACATGAAGTCTTAATTTCTAGCTTCACACATATACACATACATACACAGACATGATAGATGCACACAGACACATGCATGCACAAACACAAACATGGAAGACACATGCATGCACAGACATGAAAACGAAAGATACACAGAGACACAATCATACACAGACATGAACACAGAAGACACACACAGACACACATATACACAGACATGAATATGGAAGATACACTCACACAAAGGAAATGCACACATACACATAGGCACAAACATACACACAGACACAAACATACACGTACACACACAAACACATGCATACACACACATACACACAGATATACATGCATCCATCCGTGTACACACAGATGCATACACAGATATGCACACATGCACACACACACATACACACAAATTTGTTCCATCACCATTTCCTGTTCACCAGACATTCACATAAAACTGGAATGGCTTTATTTTACTATTTTATTTTATTTTATTTTATTTTATTTTATTTTATTTTATTTTAATTTTATTGTGACAGAGTGTCAAACCAGGCTGGCCTTAAACTCAGCATATAGCCGAGAATAACCTTGAACTTATGATCTTCCTGCCTCCATCTCCTGTACGCTAGTATAACAGATGTGTGCCACCATATCCAGTTGATATGGTGTTGTGGACTGAACCCTATGCTGGATGCATGCTAGGCAAACACTCTACCAGCTGAGTTACATCCTCAGCTTTTAGATGACTTTATTTTCTGTCCACAGACATGTCTTTCTTAAAATTGTATTGAGTCAATTCAGTTAAAAAGTTACATCCATCTGAACACAGTCATACATGCCTTTGAGCCCAGATACTCAGAAAGCTGAAGCAAGAGGTCTTGCAAGTTCAAAGCCAGCGTGTGTGTTATATATCCACACAGCGGCAAAGCAGGGCTCTCAGTTAAAATTCCTGGGACTGAATATTTGTCCATTTGTAGCTAGATGATTTTGAGCAAGTTATTTATCCTCCCAGTGTCTCAACTTCCATTCTGTTCATTGGAGATAATAACAGCCACATACTGGTCTTGTGAAGACCAATCAAGTTAATATATTAGAATTTTTGCTTGGCAGCACATGGAAAAATGCTCAGTAAATGGCAGCTGTGTTTCTATTATCATTATAATCACCTTTATTAAAATAGAAAATATGCCTAGGATTATTTAAATAATCATCCATGTATCATCAGTGGTGTACATATCCCATTTGAAGAAACATTCCTTAAATATAGGTCTCAGATTTGAATGAGGTCAAGAGGCGTTGCCCTGCCTAGCATGACCAAGGCTCTTGGTTCAGTCTCCAGCAGCACTTGAACAAGAGGAATAAGAACTGTGTGAATGAGGAAAACACCAGGAGACAGGCACAGCTGCTTTGGGAAGAGAGACCATACTCTCCTTAGGATCCAGTGTTAGAATATTTTAGAGATTACTAATAAACTCAGTTTATACCATTTAAAAGCTAATCTCAGCACCAATGACTTAAAATTTTTATTGCATCAAACCCATGTATTCTGTAGGTGCACTTTTATCATGAAAATAATGATATTTCCAGAAAATATGCCTGGCTGAAGCTGGGCTCTATTACACTCTTGGAGAATTAAATGTGGTAAGTTCCAATGTGATGTGTACTGGTGTTAGGTAGCTGGAACTAGTGTCTTCACCACATCCTGTCTGTTTCCTTTCCTGTTCATATTGAAATGATTTTCAGTGTTTTATTTTCAATTGTGCTTATATTCAATGAGTTTTTTGAACACCAGCTGAAGAGGACTGTCTTCATAATCCAACCAACAGAGCTATATCTTTGAAATTGCACTGCTCTTATTAGTCTATGTAGGCCAAGACTTAACACATAGCCAAGAAAAGGTCATTGAAGAGAAGTGATATGGTGTAGGATTTCTGTTACATATGAGGATTCTGTACAGCCACATCTGAGGGTCAATAGCAAGGGCTTCATGTCCTCCCCATACTGGCATCATCAGTCTGTAATGTATATGATATACAGAGGATGAACGAAGAAATGTCCATTAATCCAAATTCCCAGGAGATGTATACAAAAAAAGCTGAAGTTTACAGTTGCCTAATTAAGATTGTCAAGGCTGTCTATGTGCATAAAATTTAAATAGCTAATCATATTTGTGTTCAATATTTATCAGTCTTTTGATCCTATAACCTATACCAGCTATGGTGGCAAGTGATAGGAGTCTATACAAATCATATACATTTCAGCAACATGTCTAAATGGTAAAGACAGTTTGCTTTCAGAAAATTTGCATTTTAGATTTCTAATTTTGGAGTCAGTTGAAGATATATTCAAATGGGTGCAATTGTCACTCAAAACTCCTTATATATTATTCAGACAGCAGAATCTGTGGAGACAGAAACCACTGAAGTAGAGTTTCCCAAACTTTGCTTTATGGAACTAGTTCTACAAGCTGTTCTGAAAGTTGCTTTGAGGAATGGGGGTTTGGAGGCAGGGCTGTGTGGAGGGGTGTGAAACGCTATCGTTAATTTTGAGAAAGTTAACTTTGGGAAATGCTGGGCTAAGCAAATTTGAGCAGATTATCTCTAACTGCAAGACTTCTCACATTCTAAAATATGTTTAGCTTGCCTTGAAGTTTTCAAGACCGGGAATAGTATGAAATGAAAGTTTCCTGGTTTTAAGTAGCCAGAGGGGGGATGGAGATGTGGTCTGAGAGACAGATGAAAGAGTAAGATACCTGTTAATGGCTCCAAAGAGCAGTGTAAGAATTCCATAAATTGTACAGAAATGATAGAGTTGATGAAGAGACCAAGATAGCGTCTTCCATTTCCTTAAGTAATGTCGCTTACATTTGATGGTGATTGTGTCAATAGTAACTATTGTCACTAAAAAATTATTACTCCTCCAAGAACAAATTAGACTTGATCTTCATCTGTAATGAAATAACAAGATTCTGGTTAAGCAAACTATTGCCATTTTTAAAAATGACTTGTTTTCATTTTCTATGGAAAAAGCAATTCTGATTTTGCACAAGTCCAAATGCACCTTCTCTATGACTGGTAAGATAAAAAGTTCTTTATATTATATGGCTCCCTGTACGTATGGGCAAAGTAACATTTGGGATATAAGGTGGAGATCTTGGCTTTTGTGTAATTGGTTTATTGCTTTAGATTCTACTTGCTTGGAACTGCAAAGAATTTACAGTATTGAGATCTGACATTTTTTCAATGATTTATTTTTTAATTCCAAAAATTCTGTCAGATAGACCAGATTATATCTCAAAAATTCACTTGTTTGTTGGATGTAGACCAACCCACAAAAGCCACATTAATCATCGCATGGCTGTGATATATTGTACTAAGACTGTTCCTAGACTTCTTAATCCCCAAGAAAAACATTAGCAAACTTTTTCCAGTCAGCACATGGAAGATAAGATATTTCTTTTAATGAAGGTCTTTTTAAAAATATATTTTATGAGTTTCTACTCTTTGCTTGTTAATTAATAATGGGCAGAAGAATATTGCTCCCGTTGAAGAATGGATTAGTTCTTACTTACCACAAAGTCCAATGGTAAATGTAACTTCACAGCTCACAGCTGCCGGGATTCAAGTGCTCAAGCAAGGCATTTGGTCTAACTCTGACTCTTGATTTTGTCCCTCTCTCTGCAGATGGGTCTTCCCTGTGAGTACCCCTCCTGGCAATTTCAAAGTAGAGCAGAACCAGCATCCCTTCCCCAGTTAATAGGCCAAAGTCCCTGGTCAGTTCTGATTACTCCTCCTTGGATGTGATCTCCATGGTCAAAAAATGACAACAGTGACTACCCAGATCTGCATCTGGATCACACGTCCATCCAGATACATTCATTTAGTAGCATCTAAATGGTAAGGAATCCTCCCAGACACAGAGCACCATGTTGCTCCCAGATGGGGGAAAGAAAATTCTGGGTAGATAAGACAACAGATACCCATTACTGTCCATTTCAAGAGAACTGGACAAGCTCTACTTTGGCCACTCTAGTTCCCCTCCCAGATATACCAGTTTGGAATTTCTGCCTTTGTCTGCCTTC